CCCTCCCTTCCAGCCATTCTAGACGGGGCGGGAGCGCAGTGAGGAGCAGTGGCGGAGCAAGGCTGCCTGGCTCGGCCCTAGACCGGCCTCTCAGCTGTGTGACGGTGACCATGGTCACTGCAGCTCCTCCAGGGCTGTGAAAACGCATTAACCGGAGAGCAGAAGGGCCGGGGCAATGCCTGGCACAGTCGATGTCTACCAAAGCCACAGCGGGAATCGCCCCTGGGCTGCCACAGGACCACTTCCGAGTCCCCTCCACCGCGGCTGTCGGCACACTTGGGGGGACCAGACGGAAGGTGACTGCACCCCGAAGAGGAGCCCCACCAGGCCTCTGGTGCTGTCATCTCAGGACATCTCAAGGAGGCCCGCAGGTGAGGGAAAGGCAGGACTGGTTTGATTTAGGAAATCCCAGAGGCGAGCTGCAACGCGGTTCCTCTAGCTCTCCGCCCAGGCAGCCCGGGACTAGGACAGACCTTCGGGCTCCATCCAGCTCAGTCACCTTTCTCTGCAGTCATATGGAGACCTCTAAAGCCTGCTGAGTGTGGACAAGCAGCACGCGGGCGCCCAGCACTCCGGGGCTGGGACAAGGGTCACCTGGGCTCTCCTCCGTTCATTCATCTAACAGGACACGAGGGGCCTCGGTTTTGTTCTGGACCACAGCGTGTGCGAGCAGGGTGTGGAGAATGTGGCTCGGGATGCTGGCCCGGCACAAGTGTGGAGGCGGAGGCTCCACTGCGAAGACGCCTGTGGCCTGGGCCGAGTCTGACAGTGCAGAGGACGGTGTAAGGGAAGGGTCTGGGCGTCTTCGTCCTGTGACCCTCAAATCAGACTGAGAATTAAGAAGAATCCTTGCCTGAAAGGAACAGGGTTTTTTTTTTTTTCTCTTTCTTTTTGTGTTTTGTTTCCCGAGAAAGGATTTCTACCTGGCAAGTGAGTCTCCCTTCACTTACTTGTGGGACCAGTTAACTTTCAAATCGTCCAGGTAGTAAGTGACAAACGAGTACAGCCGGATGCCCTCTGCGGTGCTCTGGATTTTCAGATCTGAGGCGGACAAAGCTGTAAGGAGAAGACAGTGTATCTTAGGCACCTACGTCCGACCGTCCTGCAGGAGAACAAGGCGCAGCGGGTGCGAGAAGACGTCAGCTTACCGATCTTCCTGCAGACTTCGGCCATCAGTTCTTGGAAGGCTGAGGATAAAAGTTCAGAGCCAAGGGTTAGCAGAAGCACACTGAGCCTCCAGCCAGACCTCCAACTGTTCGCTCTTAGCCCCTGTCTGATGAAGGGGGTGATTCGCTGGCCGATTGCTAATTAGCACTCTTGGAGGAAAACGACTCCATTTGTGTCAGGCTGCGAGAGATCTCTGCCTATTTTGGATTTTTTTTTTTTTAACTTTGGAATCTTTGCGATTCAGACCATATTTACATTCTACAGAAAGCCACAGTGAGATTTCCAGGAAGGTTCTTGGCTTTGGGGTTCTTGTTCCGAAGTCCCAGGAAGACTTGGTTCATGCTACAGGACTTTTTTTTTTTTTTAATCTGTGTCATCAATCCATGATGAATTAGTCATCTCTGCGGGCTGGCCCTCCCCGGCCTAATAGTGACTTTTGCCAGTAAACATTTAGCCATCACTTCACCAAGGGTAGGAAGGTAAAATCAAAGACAGTTTTCCACTATTTTTCTAAAAAGCAATATTCTTAACACATCTTGTTTGGAAAAAAAATTGAGAGTTTGGGGGTCACAAGTATGTTTTCCTTTATCATGATATACTGTCCTCAGTTGTCTCTGAAAAGTGGAAATTCATTTCTTGCCTTGCAAATAACTGTAAAGCTTCAAATATCTTATATAAATCTTTCTGGCTACCCTTTAACCCTGGGCTATTTTTCAACATGTTCTTCCCTGATTTTTTTTTTTTTTTTTTGATCCTGGAACACTTTATAGAGTTGAAGCTAAAATGATGCTTTAAATTGAAAACAGACCCCTTGGTAAATTATAAATTTTCCGAGTATTAAAACTACACTTTCAGCCAGGCATGGTGGCACACGCCTGTAATCTCAGCACTCAGGAGGCTGAGGCAGGAGGATCGCTGTGAGTTCGAGACCAGCCTGGGCTACATAGTGAGTTCCAGGTCAGTCTCAACTACATAGTGAGACCCTGTCTCAAAACAAAACAAAACAAAAACAAAAACAAAAAGCCAACAAAAAACTAAAATTTCAACTTCTAGGAAGACCAACGATGACATATTTTTGGGGAAAAAAAAATAGTTCACTCTGTTAGAATTTCAATAAAACCAGAATCTAAAGATGAAGATCCAGCATGTCTTCAGTTGCCAGCCCAGCCTCAATCATAATTCTGGTAACACAGCACTCGGGGACTGACCTTCATCCACAAGTTTAAGTCTGCTTTTATCTTTCCCACGGTCATCTTTCAGGATGACTTCATAAAACCCGGCATCTTTCTTGGAAAACTAGGGGAGAACAGAGACACCGTTTTTGCAGCTTAGCGAAGCTCCAGGTATGGCGCAGGCCTTGTGTAAGGTCCTTGCCTAGGAACTGCCATCGAAGCCACCCAAGCAAGCGGGAAGCCGCGCAGACAGCTCATGCCCTCCCCCAGCCACAGTCACTTTCCCTGCTGGTGGTGAGTGCTTCCCCTCGGAGGCCATGGCGGAGGTGAGGCCTTCATTTGTTAAAAGTAAGCGACCGCATATATTTGAGAGTCGATGAAAGTGTGCACCTCAATGACTACTATACCTGACTGTCTCTCTACTGGGAGAGAGCAAGTTATGAGGCCAAAGTGCAAGGAAGGACCCACTCAGCGGCTGAGAAAAGTCGTTCAGAAAACAAGCACCGTGGATCCTCTCAGGTTAGATACCTGAGAGACCCGCACATATCACAAAGTGAGAGGAGCTTTTGTTCCTGCAGCAGTTAGAAGTCAGCTACTGTATGTTAGATTTCCCTCGCCTTAAGACGGCCACTACATAAAAAGAATAGCCTTCTTCCCATAATGCCTTGCTTCACACCTAAAAACGTGGCTTCCCCCACTAAAGGACAGCCTTCTCCTTCCCATCATGCCTCTTCCCGTTAAGAGAGAAGCCCCTCCTAGTGATGTCACAAGCCCCCCAATCCCTAGCTGCTGCAGCACTCAATCCCACCCCAGCTCCTAGAAGCCCCACCACAGTCCTATAAGAAGCGCTGCCCGTCTCAGCCATATGACTCTTTCTCCTTTGATCCAACATGGCCCTGCAGATCGTTGCTACAGTAAGGGCTTGGAGTGATTCTGGCCTGGTCTTGGATTTTGGCTTTTTAACCTGACACCGTACACCTCTGGGGCATTGAATGAACGCAGAATCTGGTTTCGGTTTTGGAGGAGAACATAGGGCGTGGATCTGACATTGCATTGCACACTGCCAGTCAGCTACCTCTGTTATAAGCAGGGTACATATGCCGTCCTTGAAGTCGTGCTTTTCGTCCACGGATATCTCTCTCTCGTCTTTGTACCACACGATATTAGTCTCCTTCTTAATATTTGCCACCTGCAAGAAGAACCATTCTTAAGTCTTTTTGAATTAGAGAAACATTACTCTTATGAAATAAGTAGGGGTCCCCCCCGCCAGACTGAGGTTGAACCCAGGGCCTTCGCACTGAGCTACATAACTTTTTTCTTTAAAAAATGTTTTTAAATTTTGAGACAGGGTCTCAAGTTGTTCAGGCTTGGCTCAAACTGGCGATCCTCCTGCCTCAGCCTCCCAGGGTGCTTGGGATTACAGGCGTGCACCATCAGGCCCAGCAGAACTAAGTAGTGTATTTATTTATTTACTTTTTTGGTACCAGGCATCGGAACTTGTGACCTTATGCTTGCGAAGCAGACACAGACGTCAGAATCACTGAGCTAAATCCCTGGCCCTCTAAGTAGTTTTTAATGTAGCAAAGGATAGAAACGTACTGAACTTGGGAGTCAGAAGACACAGCTTTCTAGGGGAATTTTTGAAAACTATTTTAATTGAGAAATAGGTCTCGGAAAAAGTGGGTACTAATGCACATAAGAAAATCAAGAGCCTCTCTATTTCCAGTAGTAAAAATTGACTTTGGAATCACAGAGAAGCAGTGACACACATCTATGGTCCCAGTACTGCAGATAGGTAAGTTAATGAGATATCTTGTGGGCCCTCAGGGAGCCAACCTGGAGGACAATCAAGACACATTCACTGAAGGCCAGAATTGAGAAAAGAAACTACTACAGCCTTGTGCTTCCCCCGGGGATAAATAGCAGTGACTGATATTCTAAGTAGGTTTCTATGCCTGGGTGGGGGCCAAGGTCATAGCCCAGCCTTTCCAGGAAATACGCCTGATCCCCACCCTTACTGAAAATCCCTCACGCTTGCTACCTGACTTGTTCCCCCATTTGATCCCCATTTAATCAATATTACCTGGGTGACTGTACTTGTAACCTTATTGGTTGGTCATGGTTTTGCCCCAACTCATGCCCACCTTGTAGCTTTCCACTGGGTTTAGTTTTGTCCCAGTTTGTACCCGCCTCGCCACATGGCTTCGCTGTATAAAATATCTTTGAAAAGTGGGGTGAGAGAGCAACTTACTTGCCAGTCCTCCTTTTCTCTTAGACAGAAGCTGTCTTTCCCTCAATAAACTTATCCTACTCTTAACCTCCGTTGTTCCTAGAATTCACTCTTTAATTTTCGAGAACACAAACCCGCATTTTGGATATCTAGCAGGTTTGGGAGTTACATTTCTTCCTCCTCTGTCACCAGCACTCAGGAGGCCGAGGCAAGTGGATCCCTTGAGCCCAGAAGTTCAAAACCAGTTGGCAAAAACAAAGTGCGATCCCAATCTCAAAAAAAAAAAAAAAAAAAAAAAAAAAAAAAATTATTGGGTAGACAAAAAAAAGAGTAGATATATGCTGATACACACACTTAAATAAAAGTAAAAATCTCAACACCAAATAAGGCACATCCTACCTGATTAAAATAGTCTATGCACAAAAACTAGTGACTTTATTAAAGACTGAACCAGTAAACCTGAATATATCTAAACAATAAAAAAAACATAAGCGAGGGCTGGGGATTTAGCTCAGTGGTTCTGCCTCCTGCCTTGCAAGCACAAGGACCTGAGTTTGATCCCCAGTACTGTTAGGAAAAGTATTAAGAAGCTCTAAGAGCCCAACCCCTAGCAGAGTCAGCTAACCATGACACGTCAAAAGGTCGCCTTAAACATTCCTGAGAGGCAGGAACCAAGATAAAGTCTGGTGCGGAACAGACCCTACCCCTTTGAACAATCCATGGTCCCACTTCCCCGAAGTCCCCACCCTTTGTAACTGAATGTTCCCGTAATTGACCCCTTTCTCGGAATTCCCCCTACCCTATAGCTTGTGGTTTTTTCCTTTAAAAACTGTGTCTCTACCCTGCTTCGGGGCTCAACTCCTCTGCCCCTGCGAGGGTTATGAGCTGAGCCCCAGTGGGCTGGAATAAAGAACTCTTGTGTTTTGCATCAAGAATCGTCTCTCCGGGGTGTTTATGGTGCATCGTGGCGTCCCGGACTCAGAGTAGTGGGATTCCTCCCTGGGAGGATCTTACAGTACCCCCCCCAAAAAAAATAAGCGAAGCATTGCAGATATAGGTATGGGAAAGTGTAACAAGTACACGGATTCATCATCTTGAAGAGGCTCATTTCATTTGTCATCCACACATCCTGTCCTGGCATTAATTTCAGTGCACCAAAACCTCACACGGCCAAGAAATCTCGAGCTTTATCTACAGTATTCATTTTTTTTTTTTTTACACAGCAGAATATATCCATGTACTTCTTACATGATTAAATTTGTATAAAAGACTACAGACTTCATTCAAACAGAAAAAAAATCCTAAAGACCCCGCTGAATGACTGGTAAAATATACATTACTTGGCAAAAGAAGAAAAACAACTACAAAACAAACAGGTGAAGAAAATGTTTAGACTCATTACGAACACGAACATTCGAATTTTAAAATATGAAAGAGTTTCCACTAATAAATGACTGTTAGAAGCAACAATACTGGTGACCACAGTGAGACCAGCACCCACAAACATTCCTCCTGACCCTGGAAGCCGGTTCCAGAAATGGAGGAAGTAACTGGGTTCCTGGGTGATGTTACTTCCGGCAAAATGCCCCTGAGCTGGGCGTGGTAGTCCACACCTGTAATCCCAGCAACTGGGAGGCTGAAGCAGGAGGATTGCCAGAAAGGTGTGGCAGCCTCAGGCTTTATGGTGAGTTCAAGGCCAGTCTGGACTACATAGTGAGGCCCTGTGTCAGGAAAACAAAACAAAACAAAAACGCCCCTGGTGACAGACTGGGAGGGACAAGAAATGTTTGGGGCCTTATGAAGCACCCTGCTTCTTGAGATCTGGAGTTGTCACAAGAGTGCTGGCTTTTAGAGCCCTGTACTTCCCACACCTGCCCCATGAGGAGCAGTCATATGAGGGTGGCAGAGGGGACAGCTGTCTTGTGGACTCCTGCAGGGCAGCAGGAGGCCTGGGCGCTTCCTCAATCCTTCAGAGTGGACAGGTGCCAGCTACGGCCCTCCATAGCCCCATGAGTCTGAATGTTTACTGCACACGCACCTTGAATGCTGATGCAATAGTGATGGTGAATTTATGTAAAATGCCATAACAGTGTAACAGAGAGGTATGGGAGGACACAGGAAGGGTCCTTCTGCCCAGACTGAGCATGGGAGGCCTTACAGAGAGAAAGGATTTTGCCAGAGAAGCCGAAAGAAGGTCATTCTAGGCCTTAGACAAGCAGCACAAATCCATATCTGCAAATATCATAACCTATGTGCTGTACTTTATATCTAGAAGTCCCCCCAAAGCCTCATGTGTGCCTAGAAGGGGCTTTGGGGAGGTAGTGGACCATGGGGTGTGATACTCAATCAGTGGATTCGTTTACCGAATGTGACCCTGGGAGGTGACGCCTGACCGCAGGAGGTGGGTCACTGGAGTCAAGGCCTGCACCTGTGTCTCTCCTCCTCCCTTGATCACGTTGCTTCCTGCTGCCCTGCCATGAGCTGTTTCTCCTTGCGATGCCCCTCTGCCCTGCCACCCCGCCATGGAGCCAGTCCACTGTGGACTGAAACATTTACAGAGTGTGAATGGAAACGGACCTTTCTCCTTTAACTTGTGGATGTCAGGTATCGGGTCTCGGTGATGAGGAAAGTGGCGAAGACACTATGTGTGGGCTTGGCCTTCTTATTCAGCACAGGAGAGGCTGATTCTGCTGAGCAAGCCATTAGAACAGCAAAACTCCCACGGGCAGAAGGGTACAGGAGGGAGGACAGCAGGGAGGGGCTGTGCCCCTGGGACAGTGAGTGAGCAGCCCAGGGTGGAGACGCTGAGGGCTTTAGCTGCCACCCAGAAGGGTTTCCAAGAAGCTGTGCCGTTTCAGAGAGACTGAAACCTCGAACTAATTTCTTATGTGTTTCTGGTAAACTTCTTCCTTCAAATTTGTCAGACTTACTAGAAACCGGGGCCCTTGGCTCTGGCTCTTGGGATGACAACCGCATCCAAATGCCAGACCCATGACCCTGCTTTGGGTTACTGGTGACCATCACCACCTCACATTGCAACTGCGTGCAACAGTTTCCCCTCCCCAACCTTTTTTTAAAAAATAAAACAAAATCTTTCTTGGAGACAGGTTCTGAGTACCGCCCCGGTGGGCCTCTCAGTCCTAGGCTGCCTCCCAAGCAGCAAGAACTGCAGGTGTGCGCCACTGTGCCTGGCTGTCGAAAACTTTCTTGTTGTTGTCCTTGTGTTGTTTTAGACAGGAAGCTCATCCCCAAACACGGAGGCCAAGGAGTCTGGAAAAGATCTGCCACTTAGATGCAGATTTGGCCCTAAGCCCAAAACAGCAGGAGTCTTCTGGTACTAACAGAGGGTGACCATCTGAAGTCCAAGAGCCTCCCCATCTGAAATTTTCTGAGTACGGACTTGACATCACAAGCGGGAAATTCCACACTGTGCAACTTCGCTATGTGATATTAAAAATACTTCATGAAATTACCTTCAGGCTATGTGTATATGAAACACAAATGAATTTCATATTTAGATTGGGATCGGAGCCCCAACACACGTATATGCAAATATTTCAAAAGAAAAAAAAACCCAAAATCAAAATATCTCTGCTCCGAAGCATTTTGGATAAGGAATTCTCAACCTATAATTTAAAAAGAGCCCATGTCTTTATTAACCTGGTCACGAGTAATGAAGAGGAACAGTCACTTCGCTGTAACATATTTTTATGTTATTTTAGCTTAAGTGCTTTTTTAAAAAATAAACCTGTAACATTCACAGCAAGGAAGGGTCAAGTCATTGCGGCTCAAATTCGGGAGATGAAAGAATTGGTCTTCCTCTTCCCCTTGTTCTATTTTATCTTTATTTTTCCCTTGCATCAGATATTAAAAATTCATCCACCTCTTACCTTGCATTTCAACAGTACATTACATTCACCGGTCACTTCCCAGCTCAAATACTCAGCAAAATGCGGGCCTATAAAATGTTAATGACATAAGCATCACTTTATTAATCACAAATGCAAAATCAAAGCTCATTCTTAAATCCTAAGTGATTTATGTTTGAAGTCAAACTGAAAAACATTACAGATTTAGTTGTGTTTGTTTGTTTTTGGTACCAGGGATCAAACTCAGGTCTTTGTGCTTGTGAGGCAGGCAGTGGAACCACTGAGCCAAATCCCGGGCCAGATTCAGTTTTTAAATATTTTTAATGTCTACATATCTGATAATAAATATTTTAATTGTTTTTATTTATCATGGAATTCTTAACATGATCGATACCATTCCTTTTAACTTGTTATGGAAATAATCTTGGGATGCTTTATATAAAAAAAATCCAAGTATTTCTGTTTTTACTCATTGCCTAAGTTTACCTTGTTTCCTGATCCATTCTTGCCGCTGGAATTCAGCTTCTTTCTGGAGCTTTTTATAAACTAGAAAATGAAAAACAAGGAAGTGTAAAATTAGGCTGGACAGAGGGAGCGCACGTGCCAGCCCTCCTGAGTTCCTGAGTGGCCTGAGTTCCTCCTGGCGACATTCCTGCAGCGTGGCGACTCTTACAGTGAAGAAACGGGCTCTGAGAGGCGGAACCCAGGGCGTGGTGAGCCGGTGCCGGTACCGGGTGCAGCTGGCTCAGAGGTCACACACTCGCACCCTGGTGGCTTCCACGGTGCTGTGAGCGGCTGACTACTGCACCCTGCGTGCGACGTGCGATTCGCAAAGGCGACGTGCAGTACTTCTGCGTGCTTTTTCTTTTCAAGTGAAGTAATTCAGGGTGCGCACATTATTAAACAGCGCCAGGGTTTGCTTTTGACATGCGCTCAGTCTTGGTGGTCTTGTAGCCTTCACCGGAAGACTTTAGGAGGAAATGCTTGTTTATATACGTGATTAAGTACAGCTTTGCTGGAGGGCCAGGATACCCTTCACGTTTTTTAAAAATTAATATTCATTTTTATAAAATGAGATGCGGTGGAAAGCATAACTCGAAAATTATACTTTGATAAAGAAGGATCAACTGGAGACTGCAATGGGAGGGGAATAAATCAGGAGCACAAACTGGAATCCTGCACGCTCTCTCTTATCTGAGAAAGCCAAGCACAAACAGTGAGCGGGCAAAATAAAAGACGGGAAAAGGAAATAGGAAACATGCAGATGGACCCTTTTCACAGGGGAAGGGCACCTAGAGACGCGGGAAAAGGGGAGGGCAGGGAGAGCGAGGGGATGAAAAGAGATTAAGATGTGTTCTGCCCGTGCACCAACTCCCCTCAGGAATGCAGTCAGTGTGTTCTGCAGACATGGACCAATAGAAATAAAATATTAAATGGAAAAAGTGAAGCAGAGCCAGCTTGCATTGAGAGAGAGAGAGAGGGGAGAGAGAGAGAGAGAGAGAGAGAGAGAGAGAGAGAGAGAGATCTGTGTTTTGACGCGGGGATCTGGTCAGGACACTGCTCCTGCGCCCTCTCCCGGACCGGACCAGGTCCCCTCCCGCGGCTAGGCGTCCTCACCGTCTCCGATGAGCACCAGCGTGGAGTGGCCCGTCGCTTTCCCGTCTTGGATCTGGAACGTGTACGTGCCCTCATCCTCGTCCTGCAGCTTCTCCATGAACATCTCGATGAGGCCGGTGCTGCGATCCACGTGCATCTTGTATTTCTTCCAAGCAAAAAGACACAGGTGGAGAGAGCGGCGAGGGAGACATTTTACCCCGAAGACAATGAGCCCAGTGAAATAAAATCAACTCCAAAGAATAATTAGTTTAGTAATATTTTTGACAAATTCTTCGGCCTCCTGTACACCCCCAAAAGGAATATATTATATGAATGTCTGAGCTGGATCAGAATGGATTACTGAATAGTTGGCGATATAATTTCTTTCTTTTTTTTGGTTTTTGAGACAAGGTCTCACTAGGTAGTTGAGAATGACCTGGAATTCACTCTGTAGCCCATGCTGGGCTTAGCGATCTTCTTGCCTCAGCCTCCCGAGTGCTGGGATTACAGGCGTGCGCCACCACGCCCGGCTCCGACGATATAATTTCTTAAGTCTACATAAAGTTTTGTTATCCATGTTATAAAATTTAATCAAAATTTCAGACTCCCGCTTTCTTTCCAGGTGGCATTATCTTTACTAGGAGGAAACCAGGCTGCCCCCCCCAACAGCGGACTGCCATGCGGCGGCAGCCGGCGCATGCGCGGCCTGTGGTGGGCCGTTCTTAAACACCCGCTGGTGACGCGAGAATAAAAACGCTTGTACAGCCCTGGAAACCCTTCCACTCTTAATGAGTCCAAACAGCCTTGTAGGCGGCATTTAGACAACTCTCTCCGAGTGCAGGGGTGAATCTTAGTCCCCGTGTAGACGGACACAGATCTACATCCGTCCGAGTTGATGAATCTTTGCTATAAAATGCAGGACAGAAGGCAGGCTCAGGTCTGGCTGGACCCTGGGCCCCTCTTGCCCCGGGACCCTGCGGGGAGCACTCTCCAGCTGAGACCCTCGCCCCTTTCCCTCTGAGAGCGCGGCCCCAGAGTTACGGATGAGCAGCCGTGCGCCCTCTCCTCGGACGACCCGAGACAGCGCGGTGTGCGTGTGTGCCAGCATTCATGGTGTGCACACGCGTGTGTGCGCGCAGGAAGGAGGGCTGCATCTAGACAGTAACTGCATATGCTCTCCAGCGGTGCAGGCAGCAGTGGGGCCAACCATGCTTGGCCTTCCCCTGCCCTGGCCAGGCGGTGCCAAGCCGTGCAGCTCCAGCCACAGAAGCTGTGTTCACGAACAGTAAAGGGGACGGTGCCGCACAAGGCGATACGCAGACACAGAAATCCACCAAACCGAGCCAGTCAGACCCCAGATGCTGTAAGAATATGGGTTCATCCTGAGTCTAGAACTTTGCAGTTAGGATGGACTTCATTTTCGGCTCATTTTTGGAGCCACTGGAGAAAGAGGTCATTTTCCCCACAGGTTGGCTGAAATCTCTGATGCAGATAATTTGCATCTTTTATTTATTTATTATTTTGGTACTGGGGATCGAACTCAGGACCTTGCGCTTGTGAGGCAGGAGGTGGAACCACTGAGCTAAATCCCCAGTCCGCAACTTACATCTTTTTAAAAAACTCATTAAAAACAGGCAAAGCAAGGTCTGGCATTTAGATGAGTGCGCCAATGTCCGTCGCTCACCACGGTGGGTGGGAAGGTGGTGGATCCCGCAGCTCAGATTTTACGTAGTGACCGTGCTTCCTAGTTTGTCTGAGAGCCTGGTGGACGACCGTGGCTCTCAGAAAAATTACTAACAGCCTCCCCTTCCATTCTCAGAAGTGTCCTGGTTTGGACAGAATGATAGAGTTGATGTGTGGATTTCCTTCACTTAAAAAAAAAAACGTGAGCCAGGCGTGGTGGTGCACGCCTGTAATCCCAGCACTCAGGAGGCTGAGGCAGGAGGATCGCTGTGAGTTTGAGACCATCCTGGGCTACATAGTGAGTTCCAGATCAGTCTCAACTACATAGTGAGACCCTGTCTCAAAAAAAAAACAAAAAAACAAAAAACATGATAAAGATTCAAACCGCCCCAGCCTACTAGCCAGCAGTTTTCATAACAATTTATCCATATTCCCACAATGTGCTCTACAACAGTACATTTTAAAATGTAAAACATATAGAACCTACCGGGCCTTCAAAAATTTCCTTCTCATTATGTGTGCGCGCCTGTAATCCCAGCACTCAGGAGGCTGAGGCAGGAGGATCGCTGTGAGTTTGAGACCATCCTGGGCTACATAGTGAGTTCCAGATCAGTCTCAACTACATAGTGAGACCCTGTCTCAAAAAAAAAACAAAAAAACAAAAAACATGATAAAGATTCAAACCGCCCCAGCCTACTAGCCAGCAGTTTTCATAACAATTTATCCATATTCCCACAATGTGCTCTACAACAGTACATTTTAAAATGTAAAACATATAGAACCTACCGGGCCTTCAAAAATTTCCTTCTCATTAAATATGTAGTTGACTTTAGCATTGCCAGACAGCTTCTCAGCCTGCATCCAAAACCGGACCTGACCTTTCTCCAAAATTTCCACTGCCAACTCTGATTTAGCTGCAACAGCTAAGAAAAATGAAAGAAAACACAGAAGTTATTGTGTCGGCGACCAGGATATTGGTCCCGGCTTTCTGATAAGGGAACGGACAGCCCACAGCGATGGTGATGGCTTCCTGCAGAGCCCAGAAGCAGGGCAACAGCTGTAGGGAAAGCTGCAGAGTGAGGGACAGAAGATGCGGGGTTCATCCTGCACCGTGGCCTTGGGCACCGTGAATCTTGTCTGTCGGGACTATGATGGTGAGGATGAGCTGACCTCTAGGGCACTCCAGGCAGCGCCTCTGCCGCTCTGGTTAGGTTATTCAAGTAACGAGGAAGAGCCCAGGGCTGGCTCTGGGGCCCACGCGAGCGCGGTCTCCTGTCTGAACACTGGCGACCTCAGGCGGGCTGCGTTTGGCCGCTGGCCCTCACTTGACTTGCCCTGGCAAGTTCTTCAGCGCGCATGGTCTAAGAGTCAGTGTCTGAATTACTTCAGAACGCTTACTTAGAAAGCAGTACATGCTTTTTAAACAATTTAACTTACTTTGTTTTTTTAATTTAAAAAATAAATCTGAAAAAGGAATGGATTTTGATTCCAGTCAGCCCTCCATATCTGCAGGCTTTGCACCTGCTCATTCAACCAACTGTGGATCAAAATAGTTTTCAGGGCCGGGGATTTAGCTCAGTGGTGCCGCACCTGCCTCCCAAGCACGAAGACCCAAGTTCGATCCCCGGTACAAAAACCTAAATCTTTTTTTAAATTGCATTTGTACTGAACATGTATAGATTTTTTCCTTGTCATTATTCGTTCAGTAATAGAGCAGAGCCTACCGAGGAGGACAGCTGTCATTTACCACGTGTATGCTGCTGGGCATTACACACGAGGCAGACGTGGTCTGAGCACACACTCAGGACGATGCGGGTAGGTTATATGCAAATGTCGGGCAGCTTTATTTCAGGGGTTAAGCATTTTGGACTCTGGTGCCCGGGGGACCCCAGAACTCTCCCCCAGGCGTGTGAAGGACGACCACCCACACAGCCACTCATTTCAGTCCTGTCTGTCCCAGAGATGCCCAGTCCACCAGAATTGGTCAGAGGCAGACCAGTGAGTCCCCACAAGGAGCTAGTTCACAACAGTGTGGCTTCCTTCGCCGGGAACGTAAAGGAACCCTATGGCATCTCTGATTTACACAGATTGCTGGGCCATTGGAATCTCGATGAAATTTGCAGAATTAGCTGCTGTCTTGCGAAACCGAGTTTCTAATGTCTGTGACTGAGCGAGTTGTCAGGAGGGCTCCGCCAACCACGGGTTCGCGTCAGACGCAGCCCAGGCGTATTTTATGGAAAGTGAGGCTGTTTCTCGTGGATGTGGCCCTTCAGCCCTCACTACCTTCGGGGGAAATCGGCACTCTTTACTTCCTCTAGACTCTTCTCAAACCTCTCTCAGCAGGTTGGCATGCTACATTTTAAATTACATCAGTGTTTCTTTGCATTTCTCCTCAGTCAACCCTTTTCCGTTTCAAGGCACGTCACTTCTCGCGTTACACCTCTCCACACACATTCAGTCAGGGATCTGCTCTGGCTCGGAACTCCAGGAAGCTGGGCCATGTCTACCACAGGCCCCAACCCTGGGCCGACTCTACCCCCAGACCCGGGAGCCTCACTGCTAGCAGGCGCGCTGCGTCTCGCTAGGCTCGCAGGAGGAGTGGACAGCACGTGGTAGGGCCCAGTGGAGGGTCATCGGTGCCCAGGAGCCTCAGTGTGCCTGCTCCCTGATGGTACTGAGGAGAAAACTGCCTCCCAGGAAAGACTAGCCATTTGTCAGGGTGGCAGATGTGAGGCCCGCGCTGTTCCCTCCTGCCCAGTTCTCCTCTCTGGCAGACACGAGGGGCTTCCTGGTGCAGGCAGGTGTCTGCGCACCGCAGGTAAAGGCAGGCCGGGGTGGGAGAGTGGGTGAGAAGCTCCCTCCCATTGGACACTCTGCTGCCGCCCTGCGTAGGCCTTGGAAGTGGAAAGCCTTTTCTAGGGAGGTCTGGAGGCCTGGATGTGGCCTGGTGATGGCAGGGGAGGTACCTTTGACGCCCGTGGTCCTCCCTGAGTTCTAAGAACACCGAGTGGCGGCGGGGTCACCATGCGACACCACAGAGGAACACGGCAAGCGCACGCGTGGGAATGGCCTGCGATGTGCCTGGGAAGTGGCACCAGGGGGACTCAGGTGTCCCGGTCTCGCTGCTTAGCTCTCAACCTGCGACACGGAGTTGCCACTGTACTGACGCTTGCAAGGTCACCGTGGATTCCGTGACCCATTCCATTTGAGTGCCCGTCGCATAGGCGCTCTCTAAATGCTGGCTGCTGATATTTTGGCGTCTCTTTCTTCCTCCAGTTGCTTCAACAACACCTCACAAACCCAGCTGTAAAATACAGCGTACTGAAAAACAGGAGCGCGCGCGTGTGCCCGTGCTTGCCCGCATGCAGGTATCACCGGTCTACAGGTAGGGCGGTGACCAGCTGTCTGGCGCTGGAGGCGGGTAGCACCCTCTGCCCTCACGGAAGCTGCCTGTCCTCGCTGCAGGTTAGCAGAAGTACCGGCAAGAAGGTGTTGTTTTCTATTTTTAGACTTATACTTCCCTTTTCCTCAGCTCTGAATTTCCTTCAGCTCCTTTCCCTGGCAATAAATTTGCTTCCAGCAAAATGTGTTATCTGTGGGTTTAAGGCATATGCTTAATGGCGTTCAAAATATTTTTGAAGCCAGCTTAACGTAGGAGAATTTATTGTGCCAAAGGTTACCCCTTCACATAATCTTTATAAAATCTCAAGGAAAAAAATGTCTAAATGAACACGGCCACATCGAGAGGAAGTGGGTATAAATTGAGAAATAGGACGTACTGCTTTGATCCTACCGAGATGTTCCTCTGCAAATGCCCCTGAAGTCACCTCACTGGTCCGCACAGGAGGGGAAAGAGCTGTAAGGTTTACAGTGCTGCTTTAGCGGGGCGACAGATTCACCTTTGCATTCAGAGTTTTAAACACATCCTCAGGTCTCCCTTCTGTGTCCCCCGTGCTGCCACGGCAAGCGTGCGCAGCCCTGACCTGGTAGGACCAACGCGAATCAGTGTCTGGGCAAAGTCAGAAGCACCGGGCAGCTCCAGCGCCTGATGAATCCTGTCTCCGCGGCCCGCGATCGCCGCCCGGGCATCCGAAGCTAAACACTGCGCTCTCCCGACTGCGTCCTCCGAGCGCTCACACCGAGCGAGCTCGGAGGACGCAGCTGCTGCCTGGACTTAGCGTCTCCGTCTCACCTGCTTTGTTAGCTGCTGCGCCTATGTTTACGCCAGCGCCCGCGACAACACCGTGCACAGGTTCGCACGCTTGGGAACAGCTCTGTGCGCCAGGCCTGGCGGACTAGGTGAGGCTGGGCCGCAGGTTCGCAGTGGGCCCGGGTGCAGAGGAAGGGTGTGGGACCCTCAGCGTCGGGCGGGCTTCAGTTACTCTCCCGGGACTTCTTCAGCTTCACGGGAATGGCTGGCCTAGCCACCTGGTGGGGTCTCCCTTAGCACCCACAGATCTGCGCCTCCACGCACCCTGCGCGGGCTCCATCCGCTCCTCTGCCCGGGCCGGAGCGTGCTGAGAAGGTGACACTGAGGCCGGGGTCACTCCCCCCCGACGGTCAAGCAGATCGTTCCAAGGGGTAGAGGAGGAGACAGGTGCAGGAGCAACACACTACACACACACACACACACACACACACACACACGCTCACACACACACAACTCACGCGCACGCTTGCAACACTCACACTGCACACTCACACACACACACACACCCTGCCTGTAATCTCAGCCTCCACCAAGAGCGTAGGGACCCTCCAGACCCCCTAGAGCAATGCACATCTATGAGTATTCACAGCTTTGCCATCATCTGGGACAGGGATACAGTTTTTTCGATTCTTGAAAGTCTTGCATCAAAGGAAAACTATATTTGAGATATATTTAAGTAGTAAGGAATTCTTTGAAATTCTTAATTATACAGAAAAAGCGCCTTGCAAACACAAGGTCCTGAGTTCGTCCCGTAATTGGCCACTTCCGTCTGTTTCTGCATCCAGGGTGCACCTTTCTGCAGACCTGGCCCCTCGGCCAGCGGAACCTTTCGAGTGTTATTTCACACCTCCTGCTCTTCTCCTGGGTGTCAAGTGTGGCGTCTAATCTTTTATGTAAAAGGTGCTGTATTTAAAGGTTTGTAAATAGTTCAGAAAGATTCTTTCTGGCCGAGGCTCTCGGCCTTATTTACTAAATTCCTAATGACAGGCACTGAGCTTAGGCTGTTTTTATTTAGCAGTCTGATTCTTCCATTCCATGCCAACGGCACTTAGGAAGAAGTCAGGCTGACGTGTAAAGGAACAAACCCAGAAGAAGACAGATATGTGACGATAAAACACGCAGGCGAAAGGGAAGGGCTTAATCCCCCAGACGCCTGTGCACCCTGACACTTCCTGGGGTAACCAAGTACGAGTGTGTTTTTACGGTGTCTTGGTTTCTCTGGAGAATGGTGGGTGGCAAAGAAAAAGGCGTTGCTCACGGCCTCTTCTCCTAACCCTGCCAGGCTGCGGCCTGGTGAGTACCCCACCTGCCCCGAGAGAGACGGCTAAAAGCCGTGAGGTCCTGTGGACACTTACTTGGGAACTTGTGCTCCTGGCTGAGAGCGAGTAACCGTTTCAATTCTGTGGGGAGAGACAGAAAACAATCAAACCACGAACCACTAAGTGGAAGTCACCCTGGAAGGACTGGGAAAGGAGGGCAACTGGCGCTCGTGACTGGACCGACGGAAGCTCACCGTCCTCGTCTATTAAGTAGCTTGACGCTATCCCATCGGTGTCCGTCACGTCGCAGGAATAGAGGCCCAAGTCTTCCATCCCCGGCTCTTTGAAGGTAATTTTTGTCCTTCGGAACAAAACGTGTTTCTTAAACACGAGGTGGTGCCTGTGCCCCGCCCCGTCTCCAGGCACCCACAGGCAGGGGGCCGTCGTTCAGGACACCCCGCACCGCGCCAAGCTCATGCCAGCGCCACCCTGGCATCTCAGGTTAAGTCCCTTCACCAGGAGGACCCTTTGCGCTCCGCTGTCCCGTCCCAGGCTCGTACGCTTTTGACTACTACACAGCAAGATATTTTGTAGACTAGCCCTTCCTGGAAGCCCACATTTTTCTCCCTAGAGCACAGCGTGCTGCAGCTAACTCGGGTGCTTTTCCTGTGTCCTCTCCCACACTCCCGTTTTCTGAGTTTCCTATACTGCGCTGGTGTTTCCCCCCTGTGTCTTCGCGGTGTCTCTGGAGGCAGGACCTGTTTCCCAGCACCCAGCACCCGGCACCCTGTCGGCACATCCATGTGGAGGGAACCAACGAATGGTTCAGTGCTTCCCAGCTCGGCCAAGCTGTTTGCTTTTCGCTGGTCAGGGTCTAAGGTCAACCAAACGCTTAAATGTTAAGTGCGGAAGCTGGGGGGAGCCTGTCATTTGCTCATTTTCTTTGACCGAAGGAGTTTTGTTCTTTTTACTCTTACAACGCTGCAAGGTATTTTACAAGGACTACTACTTTTGACGTTTGTATTGGTTATGACATTTTCAATACTGATATAAAGTACGTGTGACCTCATCCTCTTTCGCTGGGTTATGTAAGTGGGGAAGCCGCGAGCCCACTTCCTGATCCTGCAGTGCACAGGACACCCATCCCCGCAGCGGGAACCACTCTTACTTGTTGCCTTTGCTTTCGACTTCCAGCCGTGGGGAGTCCTCGGTGCGCACGTAGTCTTTAGACCAGGTGAATTCTGATTTCGGAGTCATCTGGTCACACTCAAAGTTCAACGAGATGACCCCGTCATCGTCCACACTCACGACCACCTCCTTGGTTCCTAGAAGACGAAAGAGAAGGCACTGGCACCTCGTGGGACTTCTCATTTGGGTGCTGTACTCTAGCCTTAAATCGAGGCCCTGCGCCTGGGCAAGGGAAAGCCCGCTGCCGAGGGTGATGGATGTTTTCGCTCCAAGATTCCGCTTTTATACGGCAGCAGGGAATTTAGCCAACGCGTCACGTCTCCCGCCTAGGAGGAGCCAATACGACAGAAGGGCTGTGCGACCGTGACCAGGAAGAGCTGCGATGTGACTGTCGGCTGCGGGGGAGTGGACTGACTGGGCTGTGATAAGGGGACGGGCAGCCTGGGGAAGAGGAGGATGGAACGGTCCCTATCGGGCCTGAATTCGCTTCAACCCTACCGGGACCCAATCCGTCATGAGGAGAGGGTAGAAAGAGTCAATGAAACTAAGGACAAACTGAAGGGGAGAAGCAGAGAGCATAAGAATTGCCTACATGCACATGTTCAAAGTCCTGCAACCATTCTGGAATGGAGAAATACACCAGAACTTGTTCCACTGAAGATAAAATCGTAAGTCAATTTAAAGAGGCTCCCCCTGAGCCGGGTGTGGTGGCGCATGCCTGTAATCCCAGCACTCTGGAGGCTGAGGCAGGAGGATCGCTGTGAGTTGGAGACCAGCCTGGGCTACATTCCCAGCTCCCAGCACTCTGGAGGCTGAGGCAGGAGGATCGCTGTGAGTTGGAGACCAGCCTGGGCTACATAGTGAGTTCCAGGTCAGTCTCAACTACATAGTGAGACCCTCTCTCAAAAAAATCAAAAAACAAAAACAAAAAAACCAAAACAAAACAAAAAAGAGGCTCCCTCTGGATTAGAATGCTCAAAGCTAGGAAAATCTTTCATCGAACTATGTGAAAATTTAAATGGAAATGGGTTTCCAGAGGTCTACTATATTTCAAGAAGATTGATTTTGGGATTTAAAACAATTCAGTTAGTTTTGAGTTTTAATAAATGGTGCCTGCATCCAGTATAGCAATTCAAAGAGAGTCTGGTACGGCACAGGACATAGCCACAGCTGTGCCTAGACCCTGCTTGAAAGAGGCAAAATATCCTACTCGAATTTATACTCATTCAGCTGCTGGCCTAAACCTGGTGTGTGTCAGTTACTACATTTCTGCGAAAATTAGATTTAGTCTTTGGATATAGCTTTATTTTCTCAAAAGTACTTCAATATCTTCCAAAAGCTGTTTCCCAAGGGAGTGATGTTTTCTCTCCAGATTGTATCATCCTGGACTATTGTCCAGTGACTTTGGCCAGTGGGACAGAAAATGTCACAAGTCCTTCCGGGGGAAGCTGAGAGGAGCCCTGGGCCCCGCAAGTGACACGAGGGGCTTGGTTCCCAAGCCTGCTGGTCAGTCTAACTTGTGCTCCTGTTTATGGCAGTGTGGGCTTCAACTATAAATCTCCAAAAAGTGATTTCAGTAGAGGGAAAGCTTAGGTTGAATACACTAGCTATAGGAGATTTTTAAACATTGCAGTTTTTTTCTGAGACAGCGTTTTGCTATGCAGTCAGGCTGGCCTTAAAATTGATATGTATCCCAGGCAGACTTTGAACTTATGGGGATCCTCCTGCCTCAGCCTCCTCAGTGCTGAGATTACAGGGATATACCACCATACCGGGCTTAAAATTCCTTTTATTTTATTTTTTTTAGAAAGGGTTATTTTCCTATTTGCCTACATAGATAACCTGAAACAATGAGCAGTTAAAGGCTTAATTGTTCATAAGCATGGCATCCACTGTGTATTCCTTGTACAGACTACATCCGCTCTCTTGGAAATTTCATTTCCAGGGCCAACAACACCTAACTAGTCCTCAACCTTCACTGATGTAAAGGGTGAACAGGTGCTTTTATTAAAACAAGACTAAACTGAAGGGTGCTGAGCTTTGAGTCACTATGACTTGCCTGGCTGAGCCCCTGGGAGAGCTCGGCTGGTCTGTCCTGTCTGTCCACCTGCAGCGCTGTGAGGGAGACAGAGTGGTGGACGCTGACTGACTAAGTCTGCTTCTGCTTTTGCGCAACATCCAATTTGGAGGCGGGATGGACGGCTCATATTAATCTCTGCCCACCTGTGGTACTTTGTAAAAAGGAAATGACTCATCTATCTCTACTTCCTGCTTACAATATTAAAGGCATAACTTAGGTGGACGGCAGGAAAGACCCTGCTCGGGTGGATTCTTTTAATGTGAAAGATTTGATTTTCCTGCAAACAAAGGAGCCACCAAGCTGGCAGAACGTGGACGAGTCCATTAGTTTTGCATTTCTCCTAACTCCTCAGGCAACCTTCATGCGGTGACACCTCACCTATTTGGACCTTCGCCCCAGACCAAGAAGTAAGGAAACACACCGAAGACCTAGTGCTGATGGGACAAAGGCCACTCATGAGCGCCTGGTGCGCCTGGAGAGCCCCGGGCTGTCACCACTCAGACCTCTCTGAGGTACTCGGCCGCTTTCCTCTGTGCAGTGAACTGAAGAAAGACAAGGGAGGGTCCCTGGCAGCATGGATGCCGAGGACAAGGCAATGCCAGCCAGAGGAGGCAGTGGGCCAAAGAGGAGCAGCGTGGGATACAGCTGAGCAGGGGACAGACAGCTCCTCTGTCACGACAGCGCACAGCAAACTACGCTGGGAACAAGGTGGGCGCCACAGAAACAGGAGCGTCGATCCCGCGTACCGCATCCCAGGCCCAAAAGCACCCATCGAGATGCCGAAGCGCTTGAAAGGGATTTCATCCGAAAGCCTTCAAATCTTCAAGTGTCTTTGCCTTAGTAGTAAACCCTCAGGCAAACAGAGAACTGGGCTTGTGAAACAAGAATGTGTTCAGATTTCAGAGTGGGCAGCTTTGGTGCCAAACCCAGGCAGCTGGGTGTAGGGGCGGCCACGCTAGGTTTCCGCCTCAACTGCCTGAGTTGCTGAGAGAAGAACACAGAAGTACTCTGGGAAGTTCCTTTTTGTAGAGCCACTGGTGAGCTTCTGTGAAAATGTGAAGTGAAACAAACAACGTTATTTGTTTTCCTTTTTAATCAGCATAGAATTTTTGAGACTCCAGCGATACACGAGCTTCTGCCTCGGTGTGTAAGTCTTACCTCTCCTATACAGTTCTAACGTGAGAAATGCGGGCATTTTTACAAAGCCTCAGATTAAACTTCATATCTAAAGTGAAGCAAGAGGTAGGAATCAGCCGCAGTGTGGCCCAGGGCCTGAGAGAGAGCTGCTATCTGCGAAGCCCGGCTTGGTCGGTTGTGTAAATCAGCACACCGCAAGCGGAGCGTGTCTTCAACCGACGCAAACCCCACTGGGGCTAGGGTGGGTACTGGTGGTTGATTCATTTCAATAAAGGGAACAAATTAAAAACATTTAAAACTATAGCACATTTGGGTATTGAAGGTTTAAAATGCAAAACTCATTAAGATGAGTACTTGCATTTTTATTTTAAAAAGCTGCACTACATGTTCAGTTCATCAAGAATAAGGTTAATATTGTACAGGAAAAGGTGCAATCTTTCATATTTTCCACATGAATTTACATGTGCCAGGGACTGGATTGGAAAAAAAAAAAACACTTTGAGAAAGTCAGTTTAAAATTGTAACATTTAGACGGGCATGGTGGCACACGCCTGTAATCTCAGCACTCAGGAGGCTGAGACAGGAGGATCACTGTGCGTTTAAGACCAGCCTGGGCTACACAGTGAGTTCCAGGTCAGTCTCAAACACACAGTGAGACCCTGTCTCAAACAAAACAAAACAAACCCAAACAAACAAACAAGAAAACACATCAACAGCTCATTATTTAAATGTTTCTTGAGTTCTATAACTATTCTCATTGGAAAAGAATGCTTAGTCCACTTAATATTGCCCCCAAAGGTACTTTAACAATATCACTAAAAATAAAATGAATTTATGGTTCAAAAATGCATGGTGGAAGTTCATTTAAATTCTTGGAGAATTTAAATGTATGCAGAAGTATTTAAGAAACAAGCCGGGCGCTTTCCTGCACATGGATGTGTTGGACGGTCGGTCTCTGTATTACAAGAGGACGTGGACCTGCACCTGAGAACTGACTTTCCCACACACTAAATGTACAAGGAGTTAATGTGGAATTCGGCTATGGGCAGAGTATTCTATCACAACTGTACACGTTACATGACATTCAGATGGATGTTCTTTGTATAAATGCTCTAGAAAAACCAAGATGAACCTAGAAAGCAGTGACAGAATTTCTAATATGCCCCAGGCTAAGCCAGCAGTGTCTTGTACAGATTAACTTGGTAGAAGGAAAAGACTGAGAGAAAAGTAGAGCTACAACAGTCTCAGATTTTCCTTTTAGAATGACCCATTTTGTTTTGTTTGTTTTTTGGGGGGAGCAAGATCTGGCTATGTAGTTTAAACTGGCCTTGAACTCACTATGTAGTCCAGGATGGTCTCAAACTCATAGCGATGTTCCTGCCTCGGCCTCCTCGGTGCAGGGATTACAGTCGCAATGACCACATCCAGCCTGTCCCAGGATTTAACTGAGCCTTTGCTGGAGTTTTGATACCAGCAATTGATTCAAGGTTGAACTTGATCAACACCTACAGACATTCAACTTGATTACCGACTGATTAAAATATTTTGTGATTTGCTGCGCAGAAGCAGCTCTACTGTTCTACGGTCCACATGAGGGGATCCCCGTGGATGGTCTCCTCCCATTGAAAGACCAACCCACTTCCCCACAAAGTCAGGCTGGAAACACCAACCAAAAGTTGTCACGACTTAGATTTTTCTCGGAAATGACCTTTGTGCTCAAGATCGCAGAGAATTCAGGAGACAGGTGGGGAAAAAGAGATTATTTTGACTGGAAAGGGACTGAAGAATTGTCCCCAGTCAGCAACGCCACCCCGCACCAAGCCTTGATGAGGACACAGCTGTGCACACTTGGCTTTTAAGGTCCTTCGGAGCAGGAATCCCCACACAGGAACCAGTGAAGGTGCGGCCCACGGCTAGAAC